GAGAGTCGCCGTTGTGCCAAATCGCGCAGTGACCGGAATCGCGCGAGCTATGCCTTAGGCCTTATGGTTGTAACTTTGCGGGATGCCGCCTCCGAAAGTTAAACGAAATTCGCGATGTGTCTGGGCACCTGTAATAAAGGTTTGCGGGCAGGAGTTTTGAAGCAGTTTTGTTGACGGGGCAGCATGCTGCGCGCTCGTTGTCCGTTCTCATATCTGGGGTGTAGGCATTCTTCCATCTCAAATGAGATGTTCGGTTTTGCGAACCTCTACTCAAACATTTGGAATCTCAGCGGACAACGATAGCAGACAGTTTGAGTGAACGGGAGGCGATAACTCGGAAAAAGTAGCGAGCGGGCAACCTAATCTTCCGTGGTCAGAAAATAACTGCAGAACGCGTTCATTACTACAAAGGCAGCGTAAGGAGACGACAAGGCAGCGATAGCGGATAGCTGGCAACGACCAGGAAGCGATGGCGTTGCGAAAGCGAGATTTTTGTGAGCGGGTCGCGAAAATGCTATGAGCGGGCACCGATAACTCATTTCACTACAGAACTAGTGTTTTTATTGTGTCTGGTTGCAATGTACATCAAGTATTGTAAGTGAGTGGCTGTTATTCACTTTCGTTATTGTAGATGATCCATACACGTGTAAAGATGTGACATCTGTAGAAAGAGAGAAGTACTGGCAGTGACCGCAGCTGGCGACTCTCGGGTCCCTGTGGACGAACTACTTCCAGGCATTTTCACACCTAGATACATGTATCTGCGTGAGGTACAAAAATTTAAGTGGGCAGGGCAGCCCTTTTGGCACCCAACCCATCTGACGAAAAATTCTGGAAATAGCTCAAAATCAAAGAATTCATAAAAATCCATTGAGTAACTATGCTCAACTGTTTTTTTTTTGAACAGCGGTGTAATTGAACAGAGATTTTTGGACGAAGGGGATTCAGATATCTCTGTAGACACTAGCAAGAAACGGCCTTCCATGGCTTTTCTCGTATTCGGCTGACGAATTGCGGCTGCACCGACATGGCGCCAGCCGACGCCAAATCCGTGCAAATGGGGGGGGGGGGGGCGGGCGTTAGGTACCCAGCCAATTGGTATACACTAGGCCACGCCCCTTGGCTGCTTTAACAGCGGGTACCTAACGATACACCAAATTCTAGCTGCTAGAACAGCCCCTCTTAGCTCGCTGAAGCGCTGGGGCCTGTGACCCACATGAAGAAGATAGTTCGAGAAAATCAAAAAAATGCGCGAATGAAAGCGCAAGTTTACAACGCTTTTCCTATTGCTTTTTTAAAATCAATTTTAGAACCGCAGAAATTCGGTATCGAAAGCTAAAAACAGAGTAAGGCTTTTATGAGCAGTTCACATAGTTTTGCAAAAAAAAAAACTGTGATAATCTGAACCGATAACGTCAGAGGGAATTTTATGAAAGTAAACCTTGTAGAATTAATTTTATGATATTACTGAAACAAAGCGCACTTTCGGAGACGCTCCTGGCAAATAAGTTGCACGAAATATTCCTTTTGTTTCAAAAAAAAAACTGCTTCAAATATGTTTTTGACAATGAGAAGAGATACCGATTAAAAGAAGAGCTTCGACGAGAACTTGTCAACGGAACTTTAAGGCGCACTATGTGGCCCATTGATATGGGCACTAGCTTTGTTCTAGTCAACGAAAATTGTAAATTACAGAGCTATGCCAATTTCGGATGAGTGTCGCCAAGAGAATGTAACAGGAAAAAGCAGCAACTCCACTGAGAACAATTACTGGAAAATCTTTCGCTTTTTAGGAGTTACAAAAAAAATTCATAGCTTTGGTTGGATAAATTGAGAATATTTTGGCTGCTAGAAAAGAAAATGAATATGAAACAATTGCAACATGAAGGCCTCCAAAAAGCATTACAGAGAACGTAGGCTTGATGAAATACAATAGCTCAATGAAATTTTCAAACGAGAAATCTTCCAAAATAAAGAAAATGTGTGCTTATCAATGCCCCATAAATCTGTTGGTCTTAATTATGACCGAAATAATAACCTTAAAAATCTACGTTGACATAGTTCACAATTCCTGTGGCAATATTAACGCAAGTGTTACGACCCTTAACTTCACACCTCAAAACGAGCCTGATGACAATATGTGAAAGGAATATTCCGTTTAATATTTGCCAGGGGCGCATCAGAAAGTGCGCTGTTCTTCAAAATCATAAAATTTTGATTTATTGGTATTCTACAAGGTTTACTTTCATAAAATTCCCTCTGACATTATCGGTTCAGATTATCACAATTTTTTTGCAAAACTATGTGAACTGCTCATAAAAGCCTTACCCTGTTTTTAGCTTTCGATACCGAATTTCTGTGGTTCTAAAATTGATTTTAAAAAAAGCAATAGGAAAAGCGTTGTGAACTTGCGCTTTCATTCGCGCATTTTTTTTTGATTTTCTCGAACTATCTTCTTCATGTGGGTCGCAAGCCCCAGCGTTTCAGCGAGCTAGGAGGGCTGTTCTAGCAGCTAGAATTTGGTGTATCGTTAGGTACCCGCTGCTAAAGCAGCCAAGGGGCGTGGCTTAGTGTATACCAGTAATGGCTGGGTACCTAACGCCCGCACCTCGGCTGGGTACCTAACGCCACGCACCCGTGCAAATGACTACGAAATCTGGAAAAAGAAAAATTATGGGGCAAGGTACATACGCTATATGCTGAAGGAGCTTTATCAGCTCTATTAGCCAATATATAGCTTGCCCCGAAATTTAACCCTTCCCCCCTCCCAGAAAAAAACCAAAACCTCCTTTTGGCTCGGAAGACTCACTTTGTCTTCTACTGACCCTATTGATCGAACAAATAATTTTGCTGAAGACCTCATTGAAAGATCTCATCAAGCTCTTTCCGCTGGTTTGAACCGCTTCCTCTCAAACTCGTTTCAAAGCAATTTTGGATCATTTAAAACTCCAAAAACGTCTTTGTTAGCTGAGAATGGGGGTTCCGTCATTTTCCTGTCAACTGCAAGTTTCGCCCACTTTGTTGCCCCCATGAAAATGCTCTTTACACTCTATCCATCGATACCCCTCATGCCCCCTCCTCCCTCCCCCCCCCCCCCCCCCCAACACCCCACTTCTATGACTATCAGCGAATTTTTCCAAGTAACTGAATTCCCCCAGACGTTGAACGCATTACTCGACCTGGGACGATACAATCAGTGAAACAAGTCTCAGACCGCTAGTCTTCCCCGACATACGATTGGAAGGAGTATAGATTCCGAGAAAAGAGCGAGTCGGGCCGATGGGTCATTCACGCACTACCGCCACGAGCCGTAGGTTGTGAAAGACCAGAGTCCGCGAAGGCTCGTGTGTTCTCGAATTGTTGAGTATCAGCAAGCTCAAAAAAAAAGAGAGCGAGTGCTGAATGGCAATGGCTGCGATAAGCGGCAGTAGGCGGGCACCTTTGACTGGCATTCAGCGGGCTGTTTAGACTGGCAGTCAGCGTAGGCGTGAGCGGGCTGCTACAAAGCGGCAGTGATTGGAAGCCACATGGCATTCAGCGGGAATCCACAGAGGCAGCGGTAAAGTGCGGTAGCTTTTGGTGAGGATTGGTGGGGGCTTTACGGCCGCCCGCTTGAGTGCCTTTAACATGTATAGCAGGTCATCCATCTGTTATGACATCTAGTATTTTTGACTTTTCCCCCATTCGATGAAACCCTCTGTCGTCAAGTCTCTAATCTTTCTGAATTTGCAGTTTTTGACTCATCTTGTCTCCACTACACAATCTTGCTTTCCCTCACTTTCTGCATTTGTGCAACACCACTTCAAAAACGCAGGGCAGAACAACATTTTTTAGATTGTTGTCGTCTATCAACGTACAGTTTTTTCGGTGCACTCTAGATAATTGGTAACTAAGGCTCTGAGTGAGTTCTTGCTTTAAATTGGGACGCTGTGGAGTTCATAACCATCTTTTGTTTGCTGTTTCCGCGCCGTACTATCATCGCTTTTCTAACCGAGGTAGATCAAAATAGATCAAATGCCAGCCAAGATCACTCGTGCTTCCAGAAATAAGGGAACGGATCTCAATCTCAACGATTAATGGGGGAAGATGAAGAGATACGTGAGAGTGATACCACAGCTACTGATTACAGTAGGATGACAGCACAACGCCTCATCACCTCCACGTTGGAAAGAAACAAAAATCCAGTGATGAGTGAGATGCTGCAAGCCCTAGCTGATAAGATTCTCAAGGAGTTTTCAACAGCGCAGGAAGAAGCAAAAAGAGCAAGAAATCTTGTCATAAGTGGTGCGGACGAACCGCCTGAGGGTCTAGGAACATTGGCAAGACGGAAATATCTACATGAGGTGGATATTGGAGGCTTTAGAATTGATTGCTCACCCAGTGAAGTGTTTTGAATGGGAAAGACCAGCCCAGCGCGACTCACAAAGTTCCCGAATCGTGTAAAGCTAAAAACAAAAGAGGCACCAAAATAATTGAAACAGGCAGTTTGGCGTCAAAATGTAGGCGTATGTGCACTTGGTGCAAGTACGGCACGGCGGGACCCCAGCACCTCATCCGGGATTTCAAATTTGTATGCAGTAACACACACCGCACCGAGGTGACTAGACGACGTCTACTGCACTTGCACTAAAAGGTAGCTTGCTGTTAATGAAAAAAACGAAATATTGGTTAGTTCGTTGACTACTCTTACGAAATCTCGTTTCCCCTGGTATAGAAGTGATTCACACATTTTGATATCTTTGCTAGCTGCTATATTGCTAAGAATGGCCTGTCTACTGTCTATTCTTGGTTTCGAAGGTGCTTTCGACTAGAATGTTCGCATCCCACGTCATCAGGATTTTTAGAGAATGGACGACTCCGAGAGGGAAACCATCCAGTGTCTGATCGAGATGGCGACGCGTCGTGAACTGCGTGAACGAGTAGATCCGTTACTGATTTTAGACAAAAATCGCTACAAGCAGCAGCTACAAGCAAGTGGGAGGAGATGGGAAATGAATGACTCACGCGGCTGCGCTTCTCTGGCGGGAAGACGAAAGAACGAAATCGGCTTCAGTAGATAATCCGGGGCGCTCTTGGGAAGCAGGCCTAGTCGCGACATCATCCTCTCCTTCCTGCCTGGAATGAGGTTTGAACAACGAAACTGTGATGAAATCAAAAAAGACCCACATTTCAACATCATTCATGTTAGTGTTGTCCGCTTCGCCGGCTCTTTCGCCTCCGCAGTTGTCATCTATAACAAAAACTTTATCTAACTCAAACATTTTCCACCACTTCAATTCCCGGTACTCCACACATAAGATGCGTTTTTCGGCGAGTGCATCAGCAAGTGGTTGAAGATATTGCGCTAACTTTGTCATTCCACAGCTACCTCCTCCCGTGCCTTTGTAGTTTTCTTTCTAAAATCATAATGAGTATAAGCAGAGATATCGAAATTCTATGAAAAGCTACTTACCTCTTGCTTTGAATGGCGTTGCACCTTCTTGATTTCATTTCTAAGTTTCTCCTCAATGCTTTCCTTTGATCGGAAAGCAACGCCCATATCGCTGATTTCTTTGCTCCATTGGAGGAGAAGTTGCTGGCGCACGCCTTCTTCGGTTTTGCTTCCTAAAAAACGAATAAATAGCTTTGAAAATTCAATTACTTCAAACCGTGCCTACCGTTAAATTTGGCATGGTAATTTTCTTTATTTTCGAGATAGAGTTCGATGAGCTTCGTCGTCTCTCTCTCAGTGAACGGCACGCTTCTTTCAGTTTCAAACAATGACTAATTTCGCAAGCAAAAACAAATAAGGCTGAAAGATGCAATGCGAAGCACCGACCTCTAATGTTTTAAATAGAGCTCTTCTCAAAAAGGCGCGGACCCCTAGAACACGAAGGACAGGCCTCCGATGTTTAAAAAAGAGCTCTCCTCGGAAAGGCGCGGTTCTAAAACGAAAGTTTTCATGAAGGCTAAAGCCGGCATCACGTCCGCAACACCAGTACACGGAAATTAGAACGTAGCGCAGCAAACGTAGCTGGTGCACAGAGGCAAAAATGAAAGCGCAATCATGCAACACCGAAAGAGGCTCTAAACAGATGTAGACTGCGAAAAATTTGATGTAAAAGCAAAAATGAGAACTTACGATTTTGCAAAGTTTGGTCCTAGATGGTGCAAACACGAACACCCAGCCCTCCGAAATCGAAATCCCAAAAAACAAACTTTCAGGAGCGAAAGATTCAAGAAAACAGCTTATCTAATGAAAGGATATGATAAGTAAGTGGCACCAAAAGAAGGCTGGAAACAGAGTAGACCGCGAAAAAACCGATGTTGAAGCAAGAATGAGAGTTCATGATTTCTTGAGGCGTCAGTCCAGATGGTGCATTACGAACATCCAGCACGTTCAACATCAAAACCCCTAAAAACAAACTTTCAAAGCGAAAGATTCGAGGAAACAGCTTATGCAATGAAAAGGATATGAAAATTCAAGCAAGCGAACCGGAACAGGGCTGATAACAGGATAAACTGCGAAATAAATCTATGTACGAGCAAAAATGAAAACTTAAAAAGGAGCGCAAGACGAGAGCAAACAGCTTATAAAGTGAAGGACATATGAGATTCGAAGTAAGTGGCACCGAAAGAAGGCTGAAAACAAACTAGACCGCGAAAAAACCGATGTTGAAGCAAAAATGAGAATTTATGATTTTGCAAAGTTTGAGGCGTCTCTCGCAGATGGTGCAATTACGACCTCAACCACCCTCGACGTCTAAAGCGCTGCTGGGTAAGCTAAACCAGCTGCGGAGCGTTCATACCGACCGTGGGTAAGCTTACCCACTGGGTAAGCAAACCCATGGGTAAGTTTACACACTGGTTAATGGAACCCACTGGATTTCGTTGATGAATACGGCCACAGTTTAAAAAAATCAAATGGCGGGAAACCAAGGATGGTACCAGGTCGCGCCTGCAAATCTGACGTGAGCGCCACCGTATATATTTATTGGAAGTCTAACCGGGATTGAGAAAGGTATTGTTCTTTCAAGGTCGGCACAAGAAAATGAGTAATCATCTCACATTTTCTGGCTCCTGCTATTACCGAAATCATCATAGTGTCAAGAATATAGAAATTACTACATATGAAACGCTCTCTCTTACTATTCATGCTTTGTCCGGTTTAACGTGTTTTTTAATAAAAATCAACGAACACGACGCACTGAACTGCATCCATTTCATCCGGCACTGCAGGCACAGGTTGTTGGAACAGCTGTTTTTGGGTTGAAAAAAAATGCTGCTCTACTTTAGACGTATTCTGAAGAGTTACCGTTTTCTTGGTGGAAAAAGTTTTGGAGTATTAGATATAAGGTGATTTTGCTGAGAGAACATGTGTCGAGATGTGGAAATCTTACATTTTTTAGAAACATAGCAGAAGGATAGACTTGTATCGCATGTAATGTTTCCGTCATTTTTCATGATCTTCAATATTACGGTGAACACATTGATCGTTGATCTTTCGAAATAGCATCTGAATGCATTTATTTCAGTACTGGTGGCCGTATTTGACTCCATATCTGGCTGGCACAATTCGATTAGTCAGAATTTGAAGCGAAAATCGTGAAAGCCATCTCAACAAGTGATAGAGTATGATTGTGATACTTGTTGACGGGTATATAAGATACTCGTTTTCTATTGTTGAGTGACAGAACTGTGAGTCGGAGTTCTCGAATGAGGACAAGCGTCGGCGTAATCTCTTTCCTGCTGCTCCGGTGCCAAGCAGCAGAGTAATTGGTGCGCATAGAGAAAAATGTGAGCGTTTTCATTGACCTAAGTGATGCTTGAAGGCACTCTATAATTGAACCGTTTGATGCTTGAAAAAGAGATTGCTAGAGATCGAACAGTGATTCGACTATTTTAGCTGCACTCTTGTGATTGACAGCAATTTGCTTTGAAAATGTTGTATTGCTGCCCGCTGGCAGAATATGCGACAGCAGAGGAGGTACCGCCCGCTGAAGGTTTGGCCACGCGCCAAAATTCTGTTACCCGCCTGCAGAAAAGCGCGAGTTTGCAGTCCGCCTGCCCCCGGCGATTATCTGAGTGGGCGCGAAGATATGATGGTGTTTTGGAGTAATTAAGATAAATGCCTAATTACGATAAATTCAGCAATTTATTTTTTCTTATGCGTAACTGGAGTTATAAGAATTGCGGCACTCTACGCATTAAATGCTCTAAGTTTGAATATAAATTCGCTCAGCGCCGTCTTAACTGGGCTAGAAAATTCCAACAATTGATTCTCCCTATGTTGCGCATTTAATTTTTCTCCGAAAAACCTCATAACTTCGCGCCAAGAAGTGTTCCACAGATAAGGAATGCAGATTTGGAATCAGCATTCTATGCCCCCAAGACAGTTGCATCTCATCAAAGAAGGCCACTTCGACCAAATATGCGCCCCTTGTGTTTACCCGTTTGCACTAACGTTCCTGCGGCGAGGGAAACGGCGTCCCCAATGGTGGAAAGGCGCAGCAGCGTTCGCACGCAACCCCTTCGTAGCGGGGGACGCCGCTCCTTTCGCCACAGGGAATGTTAGTGCGAGAGTTTTTGGGGCCTCTCCGTACATCTTTTGGAGGAAGGATTTGCTTTGACATACCAACGCAAAGAAGGTGGAGAGAGAAGGAGTGATAACGCAGTAAAGGTGAGGGAGACGTCTTTTGGAACAGCACTTTGTAAAATTCAAACAGTTGCAGAATCTAGATAGTGAGAGACCGTGTGCACGTTGGATCAACAGTCCCAAGGCATACCCCCACATATCCCCAGCAATTCCATCAGATCGCTGAAACTCCGCGATCTGCATTTTGCCAAATCCTTGCGATTTGCCATGCGCAGCTCTTACATGCATAAACGCGTAGTTTTTATATATTGACATAAACGCATCAGGCTTTGTCCCCGGCAATGCGGTTTACGTCTCAATGAAGAGTCGTTGCGTCCCGAGTTGCGCAGCGACTGAAATCGCGCGAGGCATACCGTGGGATTTGAGCTTGGAATCATCTAAAACTGAACGAAAATTTGGCACCCATACCGTAAGATAGAGAACCTTGCCGCGTTTGCGTGAGAACATTGAAGGAGCGGAAAACGGAGGAACTAAGGCACTTTGTGAATTGAGCTTTCTCAAGAGAGTTGTGAAGGAGGTAATTTGCAAAACTCAGATCCGAGAACCTTAGCGGGAAAAACTTAAAGAAGGTTGTGACATGCAAAATACTAAGGGGGGGGAGGTAAGAATCTACGACCAGGGGCTGTCCATTAGTTTCCTGTACATCGGCCTCATGCCTGTTTAGGGACCTGCTGCTTCTTGATATGCGCACGCCGGCAGCGCAAGCATGCGCATATCAAGAACGCCCACTGGCGTAAACATTGCATATCGCAAAAACATAAAAACCCATTGTGCTTGATTTTTTTCCTTTCCTTTCGGTCGTCAAGCACAATTTCTGTATTTATATGCAGCTTTAGTAACACGTCAACAACAGCGAAATCAGATCGAGGAGTTAGGGTTATCTTAAAGAGTGCTGGAAGAGGCCAATTCCTCCTGAGTAGCTCACTGAGTATCATTTTATCGTAGCATAATTTATAGCACGGGACAGAATTGCAGAAATGTGCAAGTTAATCAAAAAGTCGTGTTTTGGGCTCATTGGAAACATATCGTTTATTCGTTCACTGCCAACCGCGCGGCCTACAGCGATGCGCGCCTTCTAACCTTGCGAAAGAGTGACAAGTTGGACCGTGGCTAAAGATGAGGAGAATTCTTTGATTCTCTTCTACATTTGTGTCTACACTTTACGTCGTTTTCAGGTGCATGTCGTCAGCAGTTCCGTAAACGTCAGCAAGCTTGAAAAACCTTCCTGACCGTTCGTATAAAGCGTTTTGTGATCGTCGCTCGCTGTCTTTGCGTAGTTTCGCTTTTATGGTTCGCTCTCGATTCTCGTTTTCTATGTTTGTCGCGTTCTTCCCATTTTTGCCTCATTTCAGTTGGATTTCATCATTCTCACGTGTACAGCCATGTATTCGTGGGGGCGACTTCACTGTACAAAGACATTGTGAGTTCCTTTTCCTTTCCTTTCTACTAGTTGATGCCCTCCCTCCTTACTGATGAGTTCCGGGGAGAGCTTTTTTACTCATTTCTGCTCCGTTTAAGGGTAGGAACGAAACGGAGGCTACGTTTTTATTTTTTTATTAATTCTTTTCTCTAATTTCCGTTCTCAATTGTCCTTTGCCGATTGATTCTATTGCCGATTAGACTGAATACTGCTCCTCCTTGTGTTGTGCTTATTGCTAATCTCGTAATTTATGTCTAGAGAGGTCTCGTCTCGAATGAGCGTGAAGATGGAGTACTTTTAGACTATATTTCAAGGTTTGCGCAAATTTTGACGCATTCCGCTTACTATGTCGTGCCGGAGTTTTTGAATAGGTCGTGATTGCTATATTCGTAAAAATTTGATTTATGTGGCTTAACATTGACAGCGCTAGGGAGGTTGTCCACCATCAGTATCACGTCTGTGAGAACGTGTTTTCTTTGGTGGAGTGACTTGTGCAGCGCTTAATTTGCCAAAATGGTGTTTATACATACTGATGCCCCGATCACAACATTAACGCGAGAGTATAGCTCAAAGGTATGAGCTTTACACGATACATTTTCAAAATCTACTCCAACCAAAGCAGCATTGCTAGAAAAGGGTATATTTTCCCTCATAGCCGACTTTGCTCATCTAAACTCGCAGTAAACGTTTGTGCGAAGTCATGTCGCTTTCTTATAGGAAGGTTTCTACTCAAAGAGAACTAAAACAGTTACATTCTGTTCTCCACAGTAACACACACATCAGTAGAAGTCCAGTCACTGAATGCAGATTGATGGTGCAGCAAACTAGTACCCCTGCACATTCATGTCTATTATAAGTGCTGTGTACGTGGAAGCGCCAGACAGTGGTCCGTATGATGGAGTAAGACGGGGTTATTGTTGCGGTTTATGAGTTGTGAAAGAACAAGCAACTTCTGCTGAAAAGCTTCGAAGTCGCCTTCGCTAAGTTCATTAGATTATGTTCTTTACAATCACCAGCGCACGATTTCTTCTTGCATGTAACTTGTGATTTCAATCGGCTGAATTGACTTCGTTTAAATTCCTTACACTGATCGAGAGATCCTTACACATGAACAAGATCTCATCCAGACTCCTACCGAAAACAAGGTCGCGAACTTAGTTAAGATAGTTCTTCTCGATTATAAGAACACATACAGGGGTAAAGTTTTGAGTTTATACTTAGTAAGGCTTGTAGTATGTAATGACATATTATAGTTAGAAGCGAATATTCATGCTGGAATAGTTTATTCGAAATATTATTAGGTCGGTGCAAAAGTTTTGTCAGTTTTTTCAATCCATCGACAAACACGCTGGAATGAAGATAAACAAACATTTCGAAATGTTTCCAATGCAGAATTTCTTCCTCTTTCCAGCAGCAAAGCTCCTATTGTGTTTCGTTGCGAGAGTGATGAGATATCTGCTGGAAATTACAACCACTCATTTTTACCATGCCCAACTTTCACTAATTTTCAAAAAAATTTTATGAGACTTTCGGAGGAGCCCTGATAACCACCAGATAGGGCAACCCTTTTGCCAACTTATGCAATTTTTTTTCTTTTTTTCAGCTGCTCTTTCAGGCTTTCGCTAAATAAACTTCTAAAAGTCTTGTGTTGTGGAAAAATCGCATAACCTGTTATTGCACCAAACACTGCAGAACCTACAGAATACTGAGGTTTCAACACTCGATTATTACTATCGCAACCATTACAAAGTAAATGAGAGTGATTTTCGCTTCAAATTATGAAGATTTTGAAACATTGGTTACGTCATTGCGCACTCCTGAAATTGAGAAATACTCCGACTTTCTCCCACAAATTTCGCCTGTCTCGGCAAAAAAGACAATTGTTAGAAGGAGGAGAAAAAGTTGCATAGAATGGTGACTGAAGTGTTTGATATTCTATACTCCACGAGGTTAAAATACACTGAATATAAAATTTGATCACTTCAAAAAATAAATCGTAGAAATTCTGAAAGACAAGCCGTAAGGCCATAAAAAATTGCTTCCATTGGCAAAAGGTTTGCTCTTTCTGGTGGTTATAAGGGCTCCTCCGAAAGTCTCATCCAAAAAATCTGAAAATTAGTGAAAGTTGGATATTATAAAAACGGGTCGTTGTAATTTCTAGCAGATATCTCATCAATCTCGCAACGAAACACAATAGGAGTTTTGCAGCTGGAAGGAGGAAGAAATTCTGCATCGGATACATTTCAAAGTGTTTGTCTATCTTCATTCTAGCGTGTTTGCCGATGGATTGAAAAAACTGACGAAACTTTTGCACCGACCTACTATGTTAAGATTTACATGGAAAACCCGAAAAAAAAGTGGCATTTTGGCATGAACCATCTTGGTTTCTCAATTTTGAGCTCCGGAAAAAACCAACCAAAAACATTTTTTGGTACGACTATGCGTCAATTATATAAAGACCAAGTTGGAAGCCCGTAGGAATTTTCTAGAAGAAGATCCGATTTTTAGGATAGCTGAAAAATTTTGATTTTTAAATCCAAATTTTACTGGATCGCGACTTAGACGGTTCCTTGTTGGTGATTTTGTAGAGCTTGCTTAGCTCTGTCGAAGGATTTTCCAAGTCTGCCAGGAGGATGAATAACAACTTGATTTACTTAGAAATACGGTTTACTTTTGGGAGAAACTAATAGAATTGATTTATGCGTGTAATTGTAATGATGTTGGCAAAAATTGTTGGAACGGTAATGGAGGAAGTGAGGTTGATAGCTCAAGATATCAAAAGAGGACGAGCCCGCCCACACAGCGGCCATCTTATATATAAAGCTGAATGTCTGTTTGTATGTCTGTATGTATGTATGTCTGTCTGTCTGTCTGTCTGTCTGTACGTATGTTCCGAATAGAAAATTCCATTTCTGAACCGATGGGGACCAAACTTGGCACACATACACTTCGGGCCCCGGCGGGTGTCATAGGCTACTAGTTTTGTCCATTCATTGGGGCTCGCCTATGGGTTTTGCTAAAATATTGATGACCATGGATTGACCGGAAAGTTCGATAGAGATCTTTGGACCCGCTAATTACAATCGTGCTCGTTGTGCAAGTCTTTTTGTAGAGTTACAATCAGACCTCGGCACAGGCCTGATTGTAACTCTACAAAGGCCTCCCTCGCTTATAAGCAAGCTGGGTATGGTCGGAACAAAAGGCGAAGCGGATATCGTTTTTGTGGGCTCCAAAGCACAAGTTAGGTTAGCTTTTTTTAGTCGACAATTCTTTTTTTTCGATTCAGGTAAATCGGATAAGGGTCAAAGTGGACTACGTAAAATTTAGCGAAAACCAGGGGTGACTTCGTGTTTTGCATCAGAAAGCCACTTCGTGCCGAGCCCTTTTTACAGTGGAAGTTCTGTACCTAAATTATCAAGCTCGTAGATTTGCCTGTACTTTTCGCCTTTTTGGTAAGCCTACCTGCTTCGATAGGTTAAAGTCTTTATTTAAAGTTGTTATCGAATCGTGGTTAACGAATGCTAGGCTTCCATGGTTCATGCATGATTGTTCTCGAGTTACCTACTCAATCACATTTCATCTACTGTGAAAAATCTAAACAACATATTTGAGGAATTCGTCATGAGTGCTGTGAAATCATATATCACGTTCATTTTACATAACTACTCACTTAATGAAATGAACTTTTTTTATAAGTGATCACGACGGAATTTTGTCAAAGTATGGTACCTATGTACTTACATGATAGCGATGGATGTACATGAAATAAAGTTCCTAACCGTTTTTGGCGGGTGTTGTTTCTCTACACAACCGTTCATCTGTAATCAAATGCAAACATTGATTCAGTCTTTTTATAGGTCACATACATAACAGGTATTAATCGGATTTGATCTTCGTTTTTACTGTACAAGAGGATATCAGAAAAGAAGAGTTAAAACGAGTTAAGATTGCGTTGCAACGGTCCGACAGAAGCAATACATTGAATTTCCCGTGAGAGCGTAGCTCAAGGTAAACTCCGTCAAAAAAAAAACAATAACAATTCTTTGTGTAAAGGAAACTTACTCTTTGGGCTATTGAGCACCGGCTCTTGTCGTACACTATTCAAAGCGGGACTTTACCTATACTGGTATTACAAAGACAACATGCCTTAGCGACCGTATTAGGGGATAATGTTAGATAGAAGATCTACGATAATCATTTGATGATATGAAGAATGATAATACGTTTAGCACATATATGCAAAGAGACGGATCGACAATGGCAAGAGATCATGGACAAGTACGCAGAGGAAAAAATAAAGAATTACAAAACAACGTCTAAAGAAATCATAAGGCAAAAGAGTGATAAGTTCAACGTACATACATCGATGATACGATGGGATATAATGAAACGCGTCAATATTTGCAAAGATACAACCAGCTCCGATAAATCCTCAATACTTCATTCATGTAGAGCACGCAAGTTGGCACCACTTCTTTGGAAAGCTGCTCACTGTGAGGGCTGATGGGCATAGAATGTGGGACGGATGATAGGCTATAAGTACTCTTCTTCGTCGTGCTCTTGAATCGTGCACATGTCGAACTGCTCCTGAAAAAAGTAGGATTTGAAAAGTAATCGCGACCTAATAGTTAGTAACTATGTTAACTAAAGCAGCAACACAGGACAGATACGAATTATGAGAAGCCTTCCTGCACGAGTAGTTTGTACCACAAATGTTAACCAGCAGACTGCTTTACGTCTTTCAAAAAGCTTCATTGGGATTATGAATCAGGGTATTGCTACTTGAGCAATCCCCAGGCAAATAGTGACTGGGCTTCTTATATGGATAACGGTAAATTTTTCCTAGACTGTTAGTGTGCAAGCGGTAGCTTATACGAACATTTGATAAATTCGACTCCAAATTGAAGCTCAGGCCGTGCTTTTTCTAGGCAAACCAATCAGCGTCCTAGAGTACGATGCAGAGTATGATGATCGAGAGTTCGGGCGTTTTAGGCCAAAAATGAATAAAATGCGCTGAAGCCTAAAAGTAACTTACTCAGGACCTTCCAATTAGGGAGTATACGGTGAGAGCGCAAATATTCCAAATTTGTTGAGATACAAAAGTCGAACAACGTATCACTGCTTGCAATGGTTACGAGACTAATGCCTGCACCTCAACGTATTGACGTAGAGGCAGAATATGAGACCGTAAAATTTTATAGCACAATGCCGCGCCGTCTAAAAAATCCTCATGCTTCACTTATCGAAAAAATTCTCATTATTCATACCATAAGCAAACAGCATTCAAGGCATTCCCTTTCACTACAGGCAGGCAGACTATAGTTGCTGCTTCTTCAGTCTTGCAAAAATTCAGGCTGCTAAGTAAGTTTTACCGAAATATTGAAGCTTGAGACTGCGCAAGCATGTCCATGCGAACAGGCTATGTGTTGTAAAGAAAAGAATTATTGAGAATTAGTGGCAGTTTCAGAAGGAACGCTTGACGAAATCCAAGAATAGGAAACTTGGTTGCTTGATCAATTCTTAGCGCTCATCTACAAACTCTCCTTTATGTTCCGACCGAGAGACCATACTGCATGCGAGCCAATCAGCAGCCTTGATACAGTTGAATACGGTTTGGGAGGGGATCTCTCGGCACCAAATAAATCAAGTGAGCTGCCATTTGGGCATTGGCTTGGCTAAAGCCTTACAATCACTTTCTCAAAAAAAAAAACCAAGTACTTGGATGCGCTGAGGTGGAAGTGGTGAACTCCCTTCTACGAGAAATACTTGCTCTTTGCACCACATTCTCTCAAAGAAACCTTAACTTTTACAAGAAAAAAAATGAAAGTAAAGCCTTTATGGTGCAGGCACTGTATCTTTTGTCTGTAGTATAGCTGCAAAAAAAAAAACAAGCAGTGGTCAGAGCAAAGCGTATGCAGACAGACAAAACAATTTCTACAAAATATACTTCTAATTATACAAAAGGTTAGTAAAGTGCATTCGTTGTTAGTATGCGATTTATAGCTCACCATTTGTGGTGCTAAAGATGCTCGATGACCGGAAGGAGAAGGGAAACGACAAAGGGAAGAGTAGGAAGGATGCGCAAATTGATGTTTGTGTGGAATGAAGAGTACGAGGCACGCAGGGGATATCACTGAAATTATTTGCCAAACAGCTCTCTACATTCCCCTGTCTATGCCAGAAATGGTAACAGATAGTAACTGAAACTTGAATCAAAAATCTAGACTATAGCTTTTTTCAACTAATAAAACCCTGCATAGATGAGCTGTGAAAAACTCACTACAACTTTTTGCTTACCTCAACTTCAGAATCTAAAGGGCTGCACTTTCGATTATCCGGACTTTCGCTAGAACTTTCCTCTTCTATGACGCCATTACCAAGCGGCGGAACTAGAAAATCTTCTCCATCTCTTCTGACTATCATCAGTATCCTCTTCTCTTACCCGCGTCTGTATTATTACTATCAATTTCATGAAGCCATTTTTGGTGATTATGCTTCAAATTGATCATCATCTCTGGTTCGACCAAACCCGGCAAAATTGGAAGTAGTCCAGCCTGAATTTTATCGTAGTTTCAGGTCCAAAAACTTCAATCAAAGCAGATCTACCTCATTCATGGCGAGCGCAAGAGGACTAACAACATGAGCGATAAATGAATCTTGCAATTTTGCAACCTGAGCATCGTTTCGGTCCATATAGGGAGTGATTGGCATGCCACGCTTCCGCTCTTCATCACCCTGTAAAAGGCAATTCTTATGCAAGAACGATGTTCAGGTAAACCTATGTAACTGAATTTCTTTAGGGAAACTCTCAAAGGATCTGACTAAGCCATTGCTCAAGCGGCAGCTCATAGGAATTCGCCGTGATAGAAAAATTATCTCTGAACTTCCGTCCACTATTATACTCGGGAAGTCTGATTGGTCAACTATAAATAAATATTAGCTCGTAACATAAGTTCTGTTACACTTATTTTACTCTGAAAACTAGAAACTTCAGCAAAGCTTGATATTTGGCACATATGGGTATTGGACAAAGGAGTACTTATTGGCATCATCTCTACCTTCTATGTTTGGGTCATACCTAATATAAAGACAATTTTGTGACGGCACTTAGACTTTCATTTTTTCTTTCCCTTATAAAAATCCTCTCACTCTTGACTTGGATGCTCTTAACTTTTTTATGGAATTCCGAGGACATTAGTGCTAATATGAAGGCAGTTCAGAAGTCTAGGCTCTTCAACAACGCAAGTTGGAAATTAGCCAAAGCAATTCGAGAAAATCCCAAAAGATTTGAAAATTGGATTTTTTATGCGTGACATGTATGGATCAAAAAGCTACAACCCTCCACTTAATTTAAATCAGAAAAAATCTTTTGAGAAAGTTATGAAGATCTTTTCCATCGGTGTAACAGAACTTATGTAACGACCTAATATCTGGATTAGGACCTAAATTTCTCGGCTACTGATATAGGGCGATCTACCACTCGAACAATGTTCACAGTCAGCTCATAATTTTCAAATTTTGCACAAAAGAAGTCAGGCACTCAGATTTGCCTGGGCACCCTCAAACTTTCAAGAAAGAATTAGGCTGCCATGCCAAAATCATGTGCGAGATATGTGATTATGTCAAACATCGAGCACCACACCTGTTCATAAAATTCCTTGCAAATTCGCTCTGTCCATTGCCTATGCAAGCCATAAGGTTTTGTCGGACTATTTATATCTGCCATCTTGATAATCATTTTCGCCATGAGAAGTCGATCCGACTCATTCAAAAGTTCCATTTCGCTGCTCTGAAAAGGGAGAATTTCGTATTTTCAAAAAGGTGAAGTCAGATGACAAACCTTCTCATTGAAAGTCATGATAATCTCAAAATGTTGCTTCAGATCCGTAGCAAGAATGTATTCCAAAACGAGATATCTGAAACTCGACTGATCTACTGGGATTTTGAAATAAGGATGATTTCCGTGGAATTGAATTCCTTTTTACAGGACTATTTTGGCGTTTGATCTAAGCTCATGTTCTTTGCTTTGAAATTGCATGCTAGGAAGAAAAGAAAAAAGTCATGAGGGAAGATTAGGACAACAATTGAATCGAACTATGATAGAGTCCACAATATTAGGATTGCTGCTCAAAGAACCCAACGCCATACCGAAATCGTTTTGTTTCTGCAGGATCCAGCGTCTCAATAAAACTGTTCTCTTTCAACTGTAGTAACCTCCAACTTTCGGCGGCGTGGTGATTCTCCAAGACCGAGCGGTCGTTATACAGAATTGCCTGCAAATAAATGTTGTAAATCGTAGTCGTTTCAATATTCAGTACTACCTTTTTGTCCTCAGCAGCGACAAGAAACGCATTCGTCCGACCCGGATGGTCATAATCGTGCATAGCAGCCGCTGTGTACAGAGCCATCAACTGAAGAAGAATCTTTTATTTCAATTAAGGTTACTAATTTCGGGATCAACTCACCTCTAATGTGCTCATGCTAGATGAAATGGGCGCAGCCGGGGAAAGAGGTGGAGGAAGCAACGAGTCCGGTGATGTCGTGGGACCGATGAGTGGTCGTACTGGATGGCAGGTCAAATAGTAGCAGCCGTGTAAAACATCGGCGGCATGAACTCGATTATGATCTGGAAAGGACTAATTTAGAAAAAAAAATGCTCACAGGAAGTAAACTTACATGGAATGTCCCAGTAACCTCGCTCCAATGCATGGAAGAAGTTAAAAAATTTTATCGGCGACAATTTGAATATCCGAAACAGATCGGATTGCTTGAACACGGTGTAGGTAAGCTAAAGCACTCGTTGATCGACGTCTTCAATATGCTCGTAAACCTTCAGCTCTGTTTCACCTTTCTCGGTGCTTTACGAAATAAAATTTTTATATGAGTAATGGAATACTAAATATTCGTCTCAAGATCAGAGAAAAACTTATCACCCAAGCTAATGATAAAAATTTGCAATGGTAACTATCAACACCGCTATGTATTTAGTAACTATCTCGAATCATCGAACTTTTAAAGTCGAAGATTCTGATCTCCCTTTTTCTCTCAGATCCATTTCTCGCCTTTAGAACTTCATAATCATTTCTCCTCTGAATATGCACGAAAAAAAAAACTCGATTTCAGAGTTAAATCTGCTTTGCAGATGACTGCTGTGCACTTGAACATTTCATACCATAGAAAAACCAAGATAGGAATGCTCACCCGACTCAGCACAGTTTCTCGATGCTTCTCCGCAATTTCAAAAATTGGTAAAGACCAGTCGGCGACCATAGCCAGACCCCGGTCATTGTCCAATTCTTTCGTATCGAACTTCTGACCGTCAACTGTTGTCACCACAGTGTCGCATAAGGATCCACTGTAATGAAGCTATTTATTGAATGGAATGCAGCTTTAGCAACTGATCTGACTACATTTCTTATCTGGAAACAAAAGCCATATGCGATTAACTGCGCAAAATTCCAATTATTTCTCGAGCATGAGGCCTCTAAACTCAGCTCTCCTCTACCGCCCACTGTTAACAGAAGATATCGCGGTTCTTCTAACAAAAGAAGTACATTGCTTCAAGCAAGACGATTGACCTTTTTTAGATGAGGTTGACAGCCACTCTTCAAGAAAAAACATTTGACCTTTGACTGAATAAAATCAAACTCAGGTCCAGCATCCCACTAGGCTGACACAGGACTCGGCACGAGGTGGCTTTCCGAAAATGCAAAAAACGAAGTCCCCCTTACTTCCCTAAAATGCACAAAGTCCCCTTTCACCCCAAACCATAAGCGAAAACCTCAAAAAAAAATGAAACGCCTACTAAAGAAACGTAACCTAAGTTTCCGACACAAAACGATATCCTCTTTGCTTTATATGTAGCGCAAAAGCCATCTGTGGAGCCCTGGACTAACAAAAAGTTATTATTGTAGTTTATTATTGTAGATATGAAAAAACAAAATTTTTGAATTTTTTGTCCAGGTACCAAGTTCGAACATTGGGAAAGGAAAGGGAAATACGCATATTTTTTCCACGTTTTCTTTCAAGCAAAGGTCATGGCGTGGGGAGCGCCCTTCAGTGTGGTCTAGCGGTTAAAATCTATTCGTCCAAAACCAGTCGATTTTTGTTTCAAAAAATAATGTTTACCAAAGAGTTTTCAAAAACGTGAAGTCCTAGTTTCTCTATGGAGCAGAGAGGAGAAGAAGCAGACGTGTGCAAAAAAATTAAAATTTTTCAACAAGCAATAGGCTATGATTCGTACGTAATCAAATCTGTATCAAATCAATCATCATCAATCACCATCAAATCTGTACAAAATGAAGAGGAAAACTAGTGACAAAAGATACTATTGCTTTTCCTGCAGGAAACTATAGTGAACGGAATCACTGCTGTTTATACCAACTCTAGCATAAGATGACGAATTGTCTGAGGGTCCTTGGGGTCATCTGATCAGGACTTGGCACGAGGTGGCTTCCGAAAATGCCAAAAACGAAGTCCCACTTGACATTCGCAAGGTCCCCTTTCTCTTCCCAAAAAACGATATCCTTTTCGCTTTTTTTTTTCAAGAACGATATCCAGCCTGTTTATAAGCTACCTGTGCCGAGCCCTGCATCTAACACCGCACAGATAAAGTAAGTTGAGCCGAGCTAGAGTATAATTTGGCGGTGAAAATTATAGCACTTATAGAACTAAAACATGACGCTCACCTTTCTTTTCGAACAACAGACTTCTTCAAGCAAGGGCCTCCATTTCCAGTGGATGTTCCTGAATATTTATGATATATTCAATGCTAATCAGATGAGGTAAAAAGTTTTCGAGCAGAGTAAAGCCAACGATAGACTGCGCTGATTTTTGCAACGGAAGAAAAATATCCGAAAAAGTAGAAACAAAAATAGAGAAAATTTTTAGAGCTGCTTTAGAAGCTCAGTTTTGAATTACAATGCTACGATAAGATTGAACTCAAATTTGACAGAATGCGAAAGTTGCTCATACCTGGAGAGGTGTGATGCGCGGGACGACCATCGGTTGACTGCGATGAATCAGGCTTCCAGTAGCTGAAAGCATACATTCAGGAAATCATAATAGCTCGTTCCACTTGACTATTTTCCCTAGCAATCGTGTGCGAGGCGCACAGCAGCACACGCAAAAAGGTACTTTTCAGCCAGAGACCTCTCGTCGATAACGCGTACGAGCAGTGCACTTGAGATGCACTTTCATGCTAGCTCACTTATCAAAGCTCGAAGACAGCCTCGTTAAGAGATTAGCGGCAGATTGCGCGCAGCACCAGTTTCGCCGCTTGCAATCTCACACGGATAGGGAACAGCCTTTTCCGTTTGCCATAGCGCAGCGTCTCTGATTGGTCAACATGCAGATGCGATTGGTCAGAATTTAAGGGGCGGAGCAAGCGTAGAGATAGACGAGTTGTCAAGCGCGCTAGTCATTTGTATTTGTATAATATCAAAGTATTAGCAAAGTTGCATCACACACCATATCATGATACATTCCCGTTGGACATGTGACTGTAACTCGTCCACTTTCTAACAGCGCCGCGCGCGATAAAATGAGCATCGCATGCGAACGGTTCGAACAGCTTACACCTTACACGGATTCACTTTCAAAACGTGAAAAGAGAAAGACAATCTGTTGTCAATCGTTCCAGCCATTACCTCGCGAAAGCCTCGATGGCGTTTGGGATGCGAGTCAAATCCCGATGAGCAGCATGGATCCGTCGACGGACGAACACCCCGAACGGCTGGATCTCGGTTGCTCCGCCTTTGTCCATTGGAAGTATTCGGGTTCACCTCACATCGTTTGCGCGACTGCGACCGATCTTCAGGCCAACAGGTGAATTTCGCGATTTCTCGACAACACCAAGTGCAACGATTCGAGTTCAAAGAGAAATGAACAAGGAGATAAGACTTTCCGAATCGAATTCAGAGGCAATGTGATGAGAGGAAGTGGCTGGGATCAATAAGCTGACACCAGCATCAAGTTGGGAGGTGGTCACTGCTCGTCTAGCGGGCTCTCAGGATGGCCGTGCTGAACAGAGAAGAGTGGAACGAGGCCCCACTATTCGATTATCCCTTACCACACATTCACACGCAAATGCGTATTCTTTATCTTCACTCTAATTAATCCTCGAACTTTAGCTTCGGCCTTAAAGTAAGAACTTAAATAACAAGATTAGTCATACATTGAGCGGATTTTCAAAAATGAAAAGGATAGGGTGCGTCAACTGTTTCAGGAAACTGATCAGTGAATGCTAATTCTTATCTCAAATGTATAATACGAATTGCTGCAAAAATCTACTATAAAATATGCTTTCACAAGCCCAAAACGATCGCCTTTTGTATTCGTAAGTGTAAATTCAAACTGTTTATAAGTCTAATTCTAGTAAAAGTCGATATTGATACACATGGAAATACTTGGACAATTTTGGAAAAATATGTGTAAAAAAAAGTTGAAAAGGGTAAGATTCTCTCAGCACGCCTGCTGCAGATGAAGGCTGGCTGGAGGAGTTCGATGAAATGAGACGTCTCTATTACCAGTTTTTTCACATTCGCGTCGAAGTCTACACGGCAGAATTTCTGCAATTCTAATTGAAAGCCCGACATCGGGATGCTTTCCTACTCATGCGGAAAATGAGCTAAGCACGAAGGGGTGTGCTCTGTACCGACTGCAAGTATATGTGGTTTATCAAAAGTGTTCATGTCCCACAATTTCACGAAAGAATGACTCAAGGATAAAGTCATAAAATAGGAAGAATTCCAAGTTTCCACAGTAAAATGAAATTATCAATATTTTTCTAACCATAAGATAAAGAAACGCTTCTTTGGGCCGTTATTACCGAGAAGTTGCGGAAAGGGTCCTAGATAAGTCTCGGCCTAATTAAAAGAACACTGGGCTTGGTTTGATAACCCACTTTTTCCTCTTTTTTGGTTATAGATGTATACTGATCATCGAATTACAAACTCAAAAACACATTAAGGAATCTTTAAGTGACGTAGATAATTCTGCAAAAAAAATTCAGACTTTAGCATGCTGGGCCATGATGTTTTTTCATCTTCTAATGCCAAGAAAATGATCAAATACAAAAGTCAGAAAGAGTGGATCACACTTTGCTGCAAAATTGAGCAGCAGAAGTTACTTCCTCTTCAAAAAAAGCAGAGTGGTAATTGAAACATTTCAATCACGCAAACTTTATAAATACTGTAATTATCAAGTGATGTATTACATCATGAGACAGGATTTACGCAAGAAAGACAAAAAATTGACAGGATGTATCGCAAAAAGCAATTTCATATCAGTTGTATGAGTCTTGGCTATAGTACAGCGGGGGGCTGTGGAAGGTAGAAGCTAGTGGCTGATTATAAAAAGAAGAACGTTTCGTGTACTCAAATCACCGCGTATACAGAAATGATGAGCGAGACTAAGGGAAAAACACGTATTGCCTTTTGATAGAGTAAAACTCCTACAAACGGTGTTTTTTCAAGCCTAGAATTGATTGATTAAAAAAGAAGCTGGAAATTAGGTGCAGACCGAGAAGACCAGCTGTTTTTACTTTAAGAGGTAATAGAATTGAATAGGGATACATACAGTGCTGGCCATAGCTATAAAGCCACCCTAAAAATCACTGTAATTTGCTCTCTCTTGTTCGAAATTGTCTGAAAAACCACTATTCTGTGTGCAAACTAAGGTCATATCATTGACCAGAACAGCTCCCGATTTCACTGATTTTGGGCGGGGAAAATTGAAAATTTTGAAAAGGGTTCCCGAGGCTGGTCACAGCTATAAGGCCACCTCTCATTTCTAATCAGTAATACGTTTTTTGATCCTGAAATTTTTTGTACATATACAACATCAGAATCTAAAACATTTATCACAGTTGGAAGCAGTCGCCTTCTTAAAAAGAAGATTCATTCTGCATTTTTTGCTTCAAAATGTATAAAAAGTTATAATGTTTGAAAAAACTGCCTTTTCACCGAATTTTCAAGCATTTGTTTGACTCGAATGAAGGTTCCTAGGCTTCGCCGAGCCTTTGCATGAGTATGGTGAAAAGCGCAGGAGTCAACATGGCGTAGTCGCTGATATTGATAAACAAGCCTCATCTTACCGAGGTGTAAGCACGCTTCTGAGAAGCAAAACTCGATTTCTGACAAGCGAAAACTTTCGGTTGGAAGTTGGCACCTTGGCATGGCCACTACTCATGCACAGAAGGCTGTCAGGCTTTTTACAAAGACGTATTTGCAGCATTGACCTTAGAACGCTTTGTCTGCAGTTCGGTTGTGCGCAGTGTATCTCACAAAACTCTAAATTTCACTGCTTTAAACTCCTCATCAAGTCGAATCTTACTAAACTGTCAGGAATATTAGGATTTTGGAGTTTTGAGCTGTTTTCCGCTCGATCGAGGGGTCAGAGCGGGTCAGTGATCAGGCGGAGTGCACCACTCATTTTTGGAAAAAAGCGTCCAAGGCGGAATCAAAAATCCTGAGAGTTGCGATGACGTTCAAGCTATGCGCACGAGTCTATGTTGTACAGGCGACGTGCTGAGCACGTGACAGTGCTTTTCGGGCATTGGAACTCAATTTCTGCGGTTCGAAAACTCATCTTGCTGGAGGTGAGGTTGGGGCTCGTTTATCAATATCAGCGACTACGCCATGTTGACTCCTGCGCTTTTCACCATACTCATTGCAAGGCTCGGCAAAGCCTAGGACCTTCATTCGAGTCAAACAAATGCTTGAAAATTCGGTGAAAAGGCAGTTTTTTCAAACATTATAGCTTTTTATACATTTTGAAGCAAAAAATGCAGGATGAATCTTCTTTTTAAGGAGGCGAATGTTTTATATTTTGATGTTGTATATGTATAAAAATTTTCAGGTTCAAAAAACCTGTTACTGATTAGAAATGAGAGGTGGCTTTATAGCTGTGACCAGCCTTGGAAACCCTTTTTTTCAAATTTTTCAATTTAAAACCAATGGAATTGGGAGCCGTCCTGGTTAATGATATGACGTTATTTTGCACACAGAATAGTGTTTTTTCAGACAATTTCGAACAAGAGAGAGCAAATTACAGTGATTTCTAGGGTGGCTTTATAGCTATGGCCAGCACTGTATTTGTACGAAAAGTAATCACACATCTCTTACCAAGGGCCAGCGCAAATATGGGTATCATTTTGTGTTGGTTTAGATTTGCAGTACAGAAAAAATTATTAGTCGCTATTCGTTGATTCAAGGTTATGCAGAAAAAATCTTCCGATTCTATGAGGATCAATCGCTTAGCAAACTAAAGAATAACATGGAATGCAAATCTTATTTCCGAAATCAGCTAATACTGTCTTTGAACATTTCTCTGATGTAAAATTTTAGCCCGCTACTGCTCGAGATTTTTCGAAGTTTACTAGCGTATTTATGCAGTAACAAAGGGATATAAACGATTCGTTCAAAATTGTGGATCTCGAATTGAGCCAGCTCTGCAAAGATGCACAAAAGGCCATAAAAATCTCCAAGAAGAGCTATGAACTCAATAATGTTATACAATCTTTTGGGAGATCCAGCATGACCATTTCGTCCCCTTTAATGGTATTGAATTTTCGAGAAACAAAGTTGGTGAAAAAAGAAGCCCCACATCAAATCTCGGAACCACATGAGGTGAAATTTGAGACTCCAACCACGAGAAATGAGGGAATCTCTGATTGCAGAAGAACTTTGAGGTTTTGCATGAGCGGCACGACTACAAACGCATAGCTCCTCAGTTAAACAAAGAAAAGTACAAGAAATTCTCCTACAGCAAATAGACAAGGGCCATCAAAAAAAAAACAACGTACTTTTGCCAATTCTCCCTAACATTTCTTTCGTACAAGAGCATGCAAAAAACCGAATGTCATTAGGGGTTATTCAAGTGTGTACTTGATGAAAATGAAAGTACGAGTGCACGTTGCTAGCAGCGTCACCATGACACTAATCAATCAGAAAAGACACAAAATGAATTTCTTTGATTCTCGAATGATGTGATAGAACGCAACGGAAATGATGTCAACATCGTCTTGTTCTATGTT